TTTACTTGCTGTACTGTACACTGAACTAAAAACTTGTTATTATCTTTAATTTTTACATGTAAATAGATTTTTTTGTAGTTTCAGTTCTCAGTGATTATATATGGAAGTTTGCCTAATAATATACAAGTAAACAAAGTAAAAGGGAAATAAGAAAAAAATTGATGTACACACTGAGGAAGCCTAGTTTCAGTTGACTCCGAAATAATTATGATTTACAGCCAATGAAACTGACAACTTCAAAAAATAACAAATGTTTAATGCTCACAATTAAGTAAATATGAATGCATAATAGTGGAATGTAGTGGAGGCTAGTATGATAACTTTAAAATAAAAACTACAGCAAAGAACAGAAACAAAAAATTCTAACCCACAATGTTCAAATCATTATCAAAAATATTTTCTCAGCTGATATTTTGACCTAAATTTCCGCCCAAAGGGATCATGCTGTTATTTACTGTGCAGATTTGGTCACTGGTGATCACAAACGATCAAAATGTTTGGCTAAGATGGAGCGATAGATGGAAGAAGACGAAGAAAGAGTGGAGAGAGTAGTCATTTGGCTGACAGGCCCAAGGCACTGAGCAATGCAAGGCCTGAGCCACTATGATCAGAGAGCATGCAGATGATAAGTCTATAAATAGAAACATGCAGCGGGAGGGACAAAGGCTATTTCCTTTCATATGATGCAAAAGGATGGTTGAATTTCTGTACTGTAATGAGCACTTTAGAACATGACCTGTATTGTACTTTTTTTCCCATCCCCATTTTGGCTCAATGACATAAAACACATGAGCATATCTTTATATTGTCACCAGTTTGGTATGAGATGATAATAAATTATTTACTCCAATTACTAAATTCTTTTTTTCAGTTGTATGAAATATGTCGTTAAAAAAACCCCAATAATTCATGCATCCTGCAAATAGATACCAGGCGTTTGATATTAAGTTTAGGCAATGATCAGGCTTCTTTATGGCTGTGAAAATGCTCCTGCTGATCAAAGAGACTTTTTTTTCCTGTTTGCAGCCAAGAATTTGCAGATGTCTACATGCCGGTGGTTCAGTTTCCATTTTAAAATAGATTATAAATGTGATACAGACTGAAATCCAAAATGTTCAAGTAGATTAACATGCATTTTACAAAACCAGATGTTATTTTGCACGTCTTTTACACTCTGAATGAACAGAAGGTCTGAGTTTTTCCTTTGTGTCTGCTTGATCAGCATTCATTAACCATACTAACCCCTTTTTTATGAAGATTCTTGGCTTAAGTTATCACTGTAACTTAGATGATTGTCAAACCATGCCACTGAATAGCTACAGCAAATGCAGCAGCAAACCACTTCAGTAAGAGAGGAAACAGGACTTCTAAAACAGTGCAGCGTGAATGAATGTAAAAACCTCAGAAATGATAACATGTACAAGGTGATGAATGCTTGCTTACATGAAAGATCTTTGCAGGGTCAAGGTCAACCTTCTCACGGGCATTTGCTTGATTGCATTGACCTCCGGTGAGGTCAAACAAATGTCCACGAGCAAAACCTAAAGACAAAAACACCTTGTGACTCCATAAACCGGTGGCCTACTGCAATCTGAAACAAGCTTCAGATGTACAAAGTTCAGTGGCATAATGGATCATTGTCACTATAAGTCTATGATAAGAAGTGTACAAGTGGCATAACTTCTCTATAATTACCCCAGGAATAGTCATGAGGTGTAGCCCAAACACAGCATGAGGCTTGAGCAGAGCTGTCGCTACTTGTTGTGAAACACTTGCCCCAGTATGTCTGGGTTATATTCTCACAATGACTGTACATCGGGTTGCTGTTTCAAACAAGGATGTAGTGAGGCTAATTTGGTTTCTTGTTTACTGTGTCTTTGTGTCACGTACATATGGGCAGGAGAGCAAACGATATTGTCCTGCATGTGAAAAGCCATCAAGAGCCTCCTCATAAATAAATCATCGTATTCTATTGAGCTTGAGGAGGCACACACACACATTCAAAAAAATCACAAAATATCTCCCCTCTTCTGATCTGTATATAGTGAATTAAAATTTCATGGGAGGAGAGATCATTAATCATCTCACTGGCAAGCATCCTTCCCCCATAAGTGGGTATTAAAAAGACAAACAAAAGATAGCTAACACAACATGACAGGATCCCAGTCTGCATCATGGCAACAATACATTTGTGAATTGCAAAAGGAGTTAAACAGGAGTTGCCACTTCATTCAGATGACACTTACATTAAGTCGTGCAAAACGAAGGCAGGCAGAAAACAGGAAATAAAAGCTCTTGGTATACATAAATTCATATACAGTTTCATTAGCAGCTGAGTGTGGTTTCTGCATGGCTTCAGCTGGGTGGACCAAATATAATCACAATTTTTTTAAAGTCATACCATCCACAATCACCTGCATCCTGAGTGTCTTGAGTTTATTTAACATATAATTAACATTTACACTTAGTTGCCAATTTATTTAGCTAAAATGAATGCAGTCTAGTACAACAGTGCTGCAGTAAATACCTACCCTTATGACATTTGTAGTGTTCTGTTTTTAGCTAAAACTGTTTCAGAAAGGTGTTGATTCAACTTTATGGTCAGTTTGGAGGCTGCAGTTTGTGGTGTTCAGAGCGGACGTGTTTCTTAAATTTTGTCCAACCAAATTATATCAATGAGGGCAGACTAAATATTTTAAACACACACATTCATTTTAGCATGATGTTCATTAAGTGGCTACTGAGTGTGTGTACAAACAACATACAGCACTCAGTCTTTTCACAATATGTTTTATACAAGTGGATATAGTACATTTTTATTTCATCTATATATTTCCACTTGTGTTTGTGTGGCTGTTAGTGGCAATCATACAGAGCTTTACACATTTTAGGTTGTTTGTTTTTTTTAATTTAACCTCTTGCAAACTTGTTCACATGAACAATATCTGACAGCAACCTAACCAGCAATTTGTGCTGTCTGAAATATTGCAATTTATGATAAACTGTCTGCAGTACAGGCCCCTTGAGGATCCTGTGTGACACTTATTACAAAGACACTATAATAAAAGCAATGTTTGTGGCTTCGGTCCTCAAGGGCCTTTTCATCATTATTCACACTTAAAGTTACTTCCCTCATCGTGACGCCTTTGTGATTTCTTCAGAATTTACTCCAACAGTCTGAGGCACAACCATTTGGCTGCTAGTAATAAAAACTGCCTGCAATGTAAAGCAAACCACATTTATGCTGTGCAGGCACTCCTGCTGTTATGGAAGGGTTAAATATGCATCCATTGCTCTTGCAAAAAAAAAAAAGTGTCACTTTTGCTCATGGCCACAATTCAAGCACATTACACAGCTGAGGCTTCTGTGTGAAAATGAAACAACATTTCTGATGGGATTTTGCCCTCTGAAATTAAGCACTAGCAGTGAATCTGGAGCCAGAAGTAAATGCTTAAACCTGAGTTAAGTGACATTGGACTTTAGTCAGATCTCAGTCATGAATCAGATGACGTTAGACTTGATTTGACAAAATCAAAAAAGAGTTGAAACTGCACTTTGACTGTAACACCAGTAATTTTACTTCACTTGGACTTCAACCATTTGACTTGGAATGTCTTGTGTCCTCCCCATGCCCATAAACTTAAAATGTAAGCCTATATTTTGTTATGTTTTGTCTGTGGTCATTTCCCTAACAATGAATATTGAATTTAGTTTTAACAGCAGAAGGGAAAGGTCTTTTTTAACATTGCAAAGAAGTGGACAGACAACAGATACATCCTTTAAGTATCACATTCAGATGCAGAGACAGGAGACAACAGCACACGGAACAGAAAAGGCCATCACAATTTACCAAAAGCCAAAGTTAACTAATTGAAATTAGTTTGACATTTTAACTTTGGAAATAACTGATAACTAAAATGGTTGTAGATTAAAATTTTATCTAGTTAATCAACTCATCGTTTCAGCTCTAACTGTGTCACAGGAAAAAACTACCAAAGCACACCTAAAATTAAAGCTTTTACTCTTTCAATTTATTTGTGTGTAATAAATTTAAAAAAGCCCTCCTCACTTTAAATACTTGCAAATATACTTTTCTCTCTGTTATTCTATTTACGCTTCTTAAAATGGCTTTACCTTTGGTGAAGGGTGCATAATGACTAGCTCAGGACACTTAGGACTGAGAAATATTTGTGACCTGCAGAGCAATAACTTATCTCCTGTGCATAGATGTATTATAAGATCTTATTGTTACTTATATTAAAGTATAATTATACATCCAGGCTTTGTTCCAGCTCTGGCTCTGGTTGTATTAAGAGTTCTCATCGATGCATCTGTGCCTGCTACCTCTATTAAAACTGCTTTTCAAAAATAAGGTGGATAATATTTAAGAGTTTTCAAGGAAAATGGTGTTGTTTTACATTGTTTGACTGTATTTTTCCTCAACTTCATGCAAATAATGCTCATTTAAACTCTTCAGAACTCAGAGGCCCTGAACTGTTTCTGCAGCCTTCATACAACACTTTCATAATGACTTGGGACAGGAAATGAACACAGAACACAAACCCTGTGGGTAATTCTGCCATGTCACATAATCATGATAGGAAATAGCTGACGCATATAAACCAGCCCTTGTTGACTAAATGCCGTTGAAATGTAGTTTACTTTTATGGTCCAAATCCAACAGCATACTTTTTTGAGAAGTTATTAAATTTGGCAACAATAAACCAACACCCCAAGTTCAACTATGACACACGCCCAGAGTTCTCCCCAGCCAATCAGAGGCAGGTTGTAGTCGTGTCAAACCAATCAGCTACGCGACGGGCGGGTAACTCAGACTGTTGCTAGGGTATGTCCCTGATGACTTTTAACCCGTCAAGCCAATCAAATCGCGCCTCAAGCTTTGCCGCCCGCTCATTGGCTAAGACGTACCCAAAGAGCCCGCCTACACGCTTTCCCTATTTGACAGCTCCGCGGTCACTCACTTGTGTGAGTTTTAGTTAGGTGCTGTTGATACTGCCTGTAGTTTGGAGTCACCAAGACTCAGAACTGAATATAGCAGCGTACATACATCGCTCTGAAACTGTTTTTTTTTTGTTTTACACTTCCATTCCATCACTTCATGACTTGTGCATTTGTGTAAATAGATCACGTCTATTTTATTTTTTTAATTTTATATAACAAGACAACAGCGAGATGGAACTTAATTCTCTTTTAATTCTGCTGGAGGCTGCAGAGTACTTGGAGAGAAAAGACAGAGGTATTTCAAGCTAAACTGACAAGTTGACAGGGGGGTTTCTAGGCCAGTGATCAGTTCGTGAATGGATCAATAGAGACGGCAGCTAGCTTAATGCTCTTATATGTAAAGTTTTAACGTGCCCTGCCATAGTGCAGGTATGATGTCACTTCACAGACAATGGGACATAGACCAGGCGATGGGTGCAGACCGGACCCAGTAGCCTGTATGCGAGAGAAGAAACAGCTGTATTTTATTATTTAAAGTATGTCATGTATTTATGTAAGTGTGTTTGCAGTGTTTCTAATGCAGGGTATGTGTTGTGTATACTCAGAATGCAGTGTGTGTGTTTTTTTTTGTGTATTAGCTTCTTCGGAAATGAGTAAACAAGAGTGACATTGAAAATATGAGCCAGTATCATAATGACTGATACTCATTAAAATTCGCATGTAGCATCAGCTGCTCAGATTATAGACCCTTGCTAGAGGCTATGCTGTGCTATATGGATGTATTGGAAGTGATTATATTGGTGATCGATCGCGTTTTTGTTCCTCTTGAAATGACATTTAGGCTCCACAGCTATTGCATGTTTTACTATTTCCCTAAATGACTCATTGACAGCTTTTTTTTTTTTTTTTTAAAGAACTATTATTACTCTTGCAATGCAGACATTAACATTCATTTTGTTTTGTTTTTTCTCAATAGAGGCAGAACACGGTTATGCGTCTGTTTTACCGTACAGTAGCGACTTTTCCAAAAAGAAAACGAAAGCCTCGTCAATTTCCAGAAAAACTCAGAACAACAGGTAAATATAATTCTTGCTTTTCTTTTGTTTATTTGTTTGTGCAACTGTCAGCTTATAGAAACTCACACACACATATATAAAAATAGTGGAAGGGATAGGGGGGAGAGAGCTGGTTTCATGCACACTGCCATCTTTCTGCTGCCTGGGCTGGGCTCTCTGTTTTGGTCTCTCCAATAAACACTGCCACGCGTACACTGTCAACTCTGCTGCTCCCACTCTCTCTCTGTTTCACACACACACACACACCTAAAACTCTCCCCATGCTGATAAAAAAAAAAACACACACTCGATATGCACACAACCTTTCGTTTCTGCATGCTCAGTCTGTCTCGCTCAGCTATCACTTTTGCCTCGAAATGTCTTTATTTTCATGTGGTTAGTGTGTGTGTGTGTGTGTGTGTGTGTGTGTGTTTTGTGATGTTAAATGAAAGTGTCCTTTACCAAAGGGGTCCCCTGTCCCCCCCCCCACACAGTTCATAAAACCTTCATTCCGTTGTTGTCTGTGAGACATGGGAGATCGAAGCTTCTGATCAGAGCATCGATTGCTCCTCATTAAACTGTAATTGACGCGCCTTCACCCGGGTTTGACCCCATTCACATGCTCAGGCCATAAAACAGCAGAATTATATAAGTAAATAAATGTTAAGTTTCAGTTTCGGTTCTAACTTGCCCTGTGGACAGCTGGTTAAAGGTCAATTAAACTAGCAGGTTAACATTTAATTTAAAAGGCCGCTAACAGGGCTGTTATTAATATTATTTTAGTTATTGATTAATCTGCCAGTGTTTTTCTCTATTAATCAATTCATTGTTTTCTCCATAAAATGTCAGGTGGCATCTTTAAATCCCCTGTTTTTAATCCAAAACCCAAAGATCTCTATCATACATTTAATAGTATTTAACAGTGAATAGATTATGTTACGATCCACTTATCGATTAATCAACCAGTCCTTTCACCTCTAGCTGCTAATGACACAAACACACCAGGTGGTTCTTCACTGTGTTGGTCTGAAAGGGGGTTTAAAATTGAGTGGATCAGTGTGGGACACGCCCTCATCAGGAATCCCTTCTCTCCTGATGTCACATGACTGTAATTTGGGGACTTTTATATTCTAGGCTACATGCAAATAAATCTTCCATTTCCCACAATTGTGCAACAATGAACTCTGTCATCTGTTGCACCTACCTGTGATATGTAATGAATGGGTTTTTTGGTCAGACTCTCCAGAAGTATTTGCATGATGTGTTCTAGTTTTATTCCCAAAAGTGATCTGATTAAAAAAAAAAATTTCCTGTTGGCTAATATTAGTTTAGGGAAGCACAGTGAGCCTGATTTCATCAGCAGTGACTTACGTCATTTCATGTACAGCACGCACAGCATGTTCACCTGCGGTATCACTATTGTAATGACATTGGACAGACGCCGTTTGGAAAATCTGAAAGTGATATTTGTATCCGTCTGTCCACATTCCTTTCATTTAGTCTCTGACGGAGTAACACAATTATTTTTAAGTATCTGTGTGTGGGTTAGGGTGTGTATGGGGATGTGGCAGGTGGGTGTGGTGGCTAAAACAGTCACCTATACTGTGATATACACCAGCCCACTAGGGTTCGTGCACCAGACCTGCTTTTCCCTCCTTTTTCATGTGACTGCTCTGAGCGCAGAACTCCCAATTCCCTTTATACTCTCCTACAGTTTTTTTTTTTCAAGCATCAACAGGATGCTGGGGGTAGTGCAGTAAAAACATGTTTCGTGTTTGAACTTAGGCCGTATTTTCAGTTGAACAGAAGCTAGCTGTTAGGTTAAAAAGCACAATGCGTTGCTTTGTAGAACCCAAAAACTGGTGCCATAGCGTTTAGTGTCATGATCGAATCTGCAAATTAAAACAGATAACATGTTTTTCTATGCTGCAATATTCAGGGCATGTGAAAAACAAAACAGTTGACAGTCTATTACTCTACACAGAAAGAAGAAACCCTGGTGGAGTTTCCTTTTTTTACTCATAGACTGTTGTTAAATCAAAATGCCTCTAAAAAAAGATGGAGACCTGGAACTTTAGTGGTGAGAGTTTCCCTGTTTCACCTCCCTGTCACACTAGATATGAAATTAAAAATATAAATAGCGCAGAAAAAGTCCAGCTTAACTTCTTTTGCATCCTTGAATTCCTTTCTGTGAACGTGGGAAAACATACACAAGGTCCTCTGAAGAACAACTCATGGCAGTTTTACAGTCAATAAAAAGGGTGATATTAGGTTAATTTACAGGCCTTCGATCACCAGGGCCAACTTTACAAGTCCTTTGCATGCCACACCATTCTTTTACATAACATGTAAAGGTGTGCATTAACCTGCTGTTATTACAGATCCTTGTACAATCTCTTCCTCTGAAAGCTGCAGAATGATTTCCTGGTCATGCTCTGTGCTTTGACTGGGACGTTTCCCCAATATGTGCAGGTTTGAATAGCACAACTTCCTCCTTGATAAAATAAAACTCTTTGTCGGCCTTTTGGACCAGGTTATTAGCGGCAGTGCAACATTCTGTGCTCTTCCTGGGATGATTTTGCGCAGACGCCACATTATCCCAGTTGCACGATTCAACTGTAACCCTGTTTTTGGTGCAGCAAGCGGTGTCGTCGCTTTGCAGAAGCCTGGGCCTCCTCGGCACAGCTGTGGGAACCACTGCTTCACCCGCACAAGGGCTCTCAAACAGCGGAAAAATCTGAAAAGGCTAGTTGTCTGTCTGGTCTTTTGTTGTTGCTGTTTTTGTTTTTATTGCCGTGGTATCCATGGCGTTCTCATGAACAGAGGGCCTGTTTGAGATGGACTGCAGTGCCCTCGCTGGTCCGGGCTGCACATCAGGACAGGGGCACTCCTCGGAATAGCCCACACGCTGAGGAATTCTGCAGCGTCTAGGCCTCCAGACGTCTGAGTGTGTTTTTATCCACGCTGCTTTTCAGCCAGTGTGCAGCAACAACAGCTGTGTGTGCGTGCTGTTTGTATGTGTGTGAAAGCGGGCTGGCAGGAGGAGGAGGAGGAGGGGGTGGGGGTGTGTGTGTGTGTGTGTGTGTGGGGGGGGTGTTGTGCCGTGTCACAGATACTGCTCTCTCTCTCTCTTCAGGGTCATTTTGGCCCTCTGCTGCACACTGGCTGACAGATGTCATACCGACATGGAATGAGATTTTTTTAAAACTAGACTCCATTTTTGCGCTCATGGATGTCTATTTCCACAATGTGTGATGAAGCCTTTACATTCCTTCTTTGTGCCTCAAATTCAGAATGAATGCGCAGCAAAGGCCCAGTTTTGGGGGTATTATGATATTCTTTCTTACTTTATTGTACAGCAGCTCTAGGATTCAAAATCCCCTAAAGCCACCCGGAGGCAGAAAGAAAGAAAAAAGCAGACCCTTCTTTTTTTTTCAGAATGTTTCTGAGATCTCCTGTTTCTTCCAAACTTCTTGCTTTCGTCCGTCTTTTGGATCAAAACATTCACTAACCAGGCCACCCACCTACTCTTAAATGACATGATGTGTTTTGAGGTGTTTGTGTAGTATTTTGACAGAATGTTGCTGCCCTTACCGCCCTGACGCTCATCCTTATCTTTTGTCTCTTTGTCCTTTCAGATCGTCGCACAATGAGCTGGAGAAACACAGGTAAGGTGACATCAGAGGCTCGCTTTTGTCTGATTTGCATGCTTGTCTTTGGCCAGCACCCTTTGACTTCTTTACATACTTAGTGAAGGGATGCTGGCTGCAGGTATACGTCAGATATTTTTCCTCTCAGTCAAAGGCACAAGATCGGATCGGGGGGTCATCTTCAAAGAGATTTAATCAATTAATTCCTCGTGTCGGAGAATGGATAATAAGCTGATTTCAAAGAGCGCCCTCATGTTGATTAGATCTGTCTCCATTTCACGGATGAAACTCGTTACCTTGTATGGAAAGGGAGTCCTGTCAGTAATGTGATAATCCTGCCCAGACTGACGCTGTGAACGGAGAGGCGGGGTGAATCTGGCCGTCGCCCACAGATGGCACACACACACACACACACACACACACACACACACACACGTCGCTCTACTACCCTTGGCATATTCCAGCTCAGTTTAGTTGTTTTTTTTCTTTTCCTGCTTTTTGGGTGCAGTTCTCAGCTTGTGGTGATGTGTTACACTTGCTCATTAAGAGGCACAGACGTCTTTTGCTCTGTTTTGACTTCACCAACAGGGGAAGTAACTTCACAGATCCAACGGTTTCATGCCAGGAAGCGAAACCCCCTCTTTGATACAACAAAGCCAAGCCGCTTTAGGGAAAAATGATTTTTTTTTTGCATCAAGGTCACCCAAAGCTGATTCTTTTAAAAAACTGCCTGCCACAGAGGATTTAGGAAACAGCTGATGTGACTATCAGCATGTGAGCAAAGGCTGAGATGGGTGTGTTAGCCTGCGTGTGCGTGACACACAGTCAACCACGCTGAGGGATTGGGGTTTGCCAGTCACATGTCTGGGAGTGAGTAATGGATGTGTTGTGCAGAGAGAGAGAAACAAGTGCAGACATATTCCTCCCTGACCTGAGAGACGGAGAAGACCCAGGCTGATTATTACACTGCAGGTGTTGAGACAGAGTTACCTCATGTCCGATGACGGGTGTGGTTGCTGGTTACCAGTGACGTCCAGCCAAACTGACAAATGCAAGTGCCAGTAAAGTCTTCCATAATCAGTTTACTCACTTCCCTTATCATCACAATAGCCACAAGTTTCTTTAAAAAAATGATTTCCAGTGCAGTGTAATGACTGTAACGGTTCTCTTACTTTTTCACTGATGTTTTGGCCATGATGTAAGAGTTTAAATAAATGAAGTGGCGTTTAAATACGCTGCAAGTCACACTGCGCTGTCGTTGAATCAGTCAATATTTAAAAGTACTTTTCTGGCATTGCTTTTTTTTCATCCGTGACTGTTCGTAGAAATGTTAGCCTATTTACTTGTAATGACGGGCCCTGCAGTGACGAGGTGTCATTGTGATCCTTTGCAACACAATGCATCCTGATACAACCCCTGTCTGGACTTGGAGCTTCAAATTACATGGTCATTACTCCCACATACAGGTGTTAAAGGTTGAAACTGTGACTTTAGCAGGCTTTAGCGCAATTGTCTACAGTGCATGTGTATGTAGTGTATTATACCTGCTATAGTAACAATTGTGACACTCTCGTCACACTAAATCATTTATCGAGCAAAAATAACAAACATTTGCTGGTTTCGACTGTTCAAAGTGTGGAGTTTTGTATCCTGAATATCTTTTGGTTTTGGGCTATTGGTCGGACAAAGCAAACACTTTGAGGACACCCCGCTGTGCTCTGAGAACATGCTGTCTGCCTTTTTCAATGATTTCTTACATTTTAGAGACCAGACGATTCATCCGTAAAATAATCAAGAGGGTGATTTAAATCTGATCTGTTCCAAACCTATTTGTGTGCTACTCAAAGGAATTTTCATTGTCCTCGGTTGATCTTTGTCTGTCTGTCGCTGATTCAAAAGAAAACCAAAACTCTTCAGCTGTCCTGTTCAACCAGTTTAAAGAGTATGTGACCAGTTTGGAGCATCCGCACAGCGTCAGTAATCTTCAACAATCCAGGTATCGCTTCCAAAAGCTTGACCTCCCTCCCACACACTCAAACGCCACTCCAGGGAGGTGCTGCTGTTTGAGCCCTGACTCACTGTCTTTGTTTGGTCATGTGTCGGTGTGTTTGGTGCAGCACAGAGCAATCCTTGTGTTGTATGTTCACGTGGTAGACAAGGTGACTGATGAACGTCTGGTTTACACGCCGGAAGGCACTGAATTGGGTATTGTGAAATAGTTTATTAATAATGCTATCTTGCAAATAGGGTTAAGTAACTGGAATGTCTTGTTCTGTAGGAGTACCAAAAGTATAATCGATATATATTTTGTTCCTACAAAAGAAATCCAAGTAAAGACCAATGCCTTACAATTAGATCACCAAGTATTCAGTACCATCTTTCAATACTTGGAAGTTTTTGTGCCAAATAAGTTTGAGGTTCAATACCAAGCCCTACTTTCAAGTCATCTGTCCATTTTAAGCCAGGGTCTAATGTGACAGCTTTCAAATATGTTTCTTTGCCTAAATTTGTCCATTTCCCGGGAACACCAGGCTCACTGGCTGCTGCTCAGCGATCTTATGCATGCTAGGTGTCTCTCATGAAACTGACTGCTGTCTTGGCAGCCGTTCAGGAGGCACCCTGCATATATTTGTGTCCCGTTATCAGAGTGAGACGTCTGGGTGGGTGCCAGCAGCGTCCCACAGGGTCGCCTGTCCTGCCACAACCTGCTTATCTGCTGCAGCCCGAGTGCAGCCGTGACAGCTCTGTATAGACCATCTTGAAGGTGACTCTGCTTTTTTTCTCTCTCTCTCGTCATTGCATTGCATAGGCCAAAGCTGCGGAGCATCAGCAAAGCAAATGCTACTGTGAGATTGGTCTCCGCTGGCATTGCTTCCTTCCCATTTCTGACTTCAGCCGCTCTTGATCATGCTTATGACGACTTGTCCGCACCACAAGTTTCCTTTTCAAGAAACACCAAGAGATTGCGAAACTACAGAGGTTTTGTTTTCCCACATATCACCTGTTTACAGGAAATCTGAGTCCAGTCGCGTAAGGCTGGGTATCTGGTATGTTTGTGCTGCTTCCCTCAATTGAAAAAAGGATTTACAGCTCTATTTTTACCTTTCCAGACACAGACACCGCCCATGGGTGTCAGGTGCTCTTGGTTTCATTTCTGAGATCATTCAGAAAAACACTTTCAGATTTTGTTTGCAGATTGATTTCAACAAACAGTATTCTCTTAAAATGCATATCGTACCGCAGATAATGTGCAGCAACTGTGCGACACATATTGAACTTAACTTTAAATTTACATGCACTTCATGGACACAGGAGCGTGCACTCAGTTTTGTCACGGTCTAATCCTTTCTCTAATTAAATTTACTCTCCCAGTGTCTTCTACTCCCAGCTGTGATGAATGACTTCTTTGGCTTTGAGGAACTCTTTCCCCCTCGAGTGAAGCTCCTGTGTGTGCGTGTGTGTGTCTGTAGGCCGGGCTGTGCACCTCACTGTGCTGTTTGAGTTATGGTGGCGTGTCGATGGGAGGGAGGGCCGTCCACAGCCCTGTCACTTCACCTACGTGCCTTACTACTTGTCTCCTTCGTTCTCCTGAGATCACATCTGTTTTTTCTGTTATCTTTTTTTTCTCCCTCTCCTTATTTTGGCTCTCATTTTTCAATGCCTAAAAGTGTCTGAGTCAGCAGAAATGTGAGACAGTAGGAGAAAGGCAGCGCTCCCCTCTCACAGAGGGCCTTTATCACTCTTTTCGGGCCCTCCTGCCAACACTCATGTGTGCCCGTTTTTCTGCTTTTGAGGTATAAATCTTCTTTTGTGACAGTGAGTTTATGTGGAAGAAGGCCAGGCTTTGATGGGCCTGTTAATCCTGTTAATCTACATTGTAACGTGGATTATAAAGTGCACATTGTGAATACAGCTGAAGTCAAGGTCGTTTTATGTCCACATGCTGCTTTTATAAACTAATCCATTTTTGTCATGTTTGCCTCTTACAGGCATCAACAAAGCGTAGTTTCTTTATTCTTCCAGTTTGGGTTTTGGTGTGGCATTTACATGCTCACATGATTGCACGTGGCTTTTGTACTTAAGTTCCTCAAATGTCACACTGTCAGTTACATTCCTCACGTGTGTGTGTGGTGACCTGGAGTCATTAGGCTTGCATTGGCAGATAATAAGCCATTAATGAATGATGTTCTGTACGTGCCATGGTCTAAACAGTAAGGCACATGAAGGCCATGTAGTAGTTTGTAGGTAAATTCAACGTGAAATCTGTGATGTTAGAGTGTTCTTAAGGTGTGCTATATGGATAAAAAAAAAAAATTTTATGGTGAAAGTTGTGAAAAATGGCCATCAAAAGTGCCCATTTGACGTTTTCAGATGGCTTCAGGCTGGTTCCAACAGTGCAAAAGTTATTCAGTTCACCATCACATAAGACAGAGAAACCTGAAAATCCTAACAATTGGGTATCTGGAACTAAGGTTCTGTTGAGCATGTTTTACTTGACAAATGACTTAAACAATTAATAAAATAGTAAATAGTTGCAGATTAATATTCTGTAGATAAAATAAGTCAGTGGTGAATAAAATAATAAAAAAATAAATCAAGGTATTTAATACATTTGATGCCAAAATCCTGCAAATCTAATGTATTGACAGTACAACATAATTGCCATAATATAGTCCTGTGATGGAGAAATACCACCAGATGTATTACGGTTATGTATAGACGGTTGGCACATTTCTATCCTCTCCTGATGTATTTCGTCATATTGCCCAACCTTACGACAGACTGGGTTTGTCCCAACTGTTAATACATTTACTGAAGTCGATGGATGTAGCTTTACGTAGACAGTCTGGGTTGTAACTCTTGAGAAGCTGTATGTAGACAAAGAATAAGAAACCGGCTACAGCTGGAGGCCAGCAGCAGAGGTCACGTGGAATTTCTCCACCCTGAGGTCACCAGGCGCTTAGAAACTCTCTGGCTTGCTCGGGTCAACCCTGGCCACGATCGCAGAGTGGCTGCAC